TAACAGTGGTTTTAAATTTGGTTGAGGTTTGTTTAGATCAAATTGTGCTGCTTCAAATATTTTCATATTTACCAAAATAATTTGAAAGTCATTTGACTTGTGCCTTCATTTATACAAAAGCATGTAAATATGTAGTACAAATTTTTACTTTTTCTGTCTCTTTGCCTGTTTCCTATACCTTCTTGCCCTCTATTCTTGCCAGTATAGATGTATATGTGCATATTTTTAATTTCCTCCTAGAAACTATGCATTTATATGCAAGCAAATTAAAGATGGTAATTCACTGGACATCCTAAACCAGTCACGAACATGTTGGTCCTTGCTTACATATCAACGTGAATAATAAAAGAATACTTCATATTGACATGGTGCACATTTTGGCTTCCAAACAGTTTTGTAGCTTTATCACCTTTCTCTTTAAGCCTTTTATTATGTTGTGGGATACATCTATTTTTACAATTAAAGGGCAATTTCTCAAAGTCAAAGAAAATCTTTTCCTTTGTCTATCACTGTATGAAATGTATGTGGGTTACAGAATATGAGTTTGGAAAAAAGGTTGGAACGTAAATTCTGATGCCTTTTTTTCCAATATTCCTGTTAATAATGACAAAAAAGTAATAGGACTTCTAGAGAATATCCTATTTTTCATATTCATAACATCTCTGTGCAGTAAGAAAGTCATACATTGTCACCAGCATTTTACAACTAATTTCTTGTAGTTCAAGTGACAAACCTAGCAAAAGGCACTCTGAGAGCTGTTCTTGAGTCCTAGAATTTGGCCTAGTGGTTTAGTCACATGCCACATATTCCACATCACACTGAGCCTCACTCCCTCTGTGAAGTTCTCAGTAAAAGGGCATAGTAAAAATATGAGGAAAACCACACTAAATTCCATCATTGATATGTGTCAAGCAATTTATAAATTGTTCAGCAACAAAGATATATTAAGCAACCTTACCCACAAGTATATTGGAAACAGCAACTTGTTAAATGTAGTTTTCACTTGCTACACAATTGAGAAAGGCAATGGATCTATCATTTATGTTTTATTTGCAAAATCTTTTTCTTATTCTAATACAGTGATCTGCTTTTACCACAAAAAAAAGTTTTGAAGTTACAAAGGTAGCATTCTCATTAAACAACATAGAAGCAAACTGCAGGATGATGTACATATTTTGTGGCAATGCAGTATTATATTTGTTTAAAAGGCAGTATATACAAACAAACTCTGATGGTCTGAACCTGGTTGTTTTGTTTTGTTTTGGGTGCCAGGAATTGAACTCAGGATCATGCACTTGCCAGGCAGGCACTGTGCCTCTGAAGTATATCACCAGCCCTAAACTCTGATTGTCATTTGCAAGTGTTCTCATATAGTTTGCTGAAATGAAACAAAAATGAAGAATAAAAAAAGAACATGAATATAATCCCATGCACAAAACAAGTAAGTATAAAAGGTAGTAATGGGGCTACAAGTCACATTTAACAAAAGCAAAATAAAAATTTTACATAGTTTTAATATGACAAAATAAAGCACCAAAGAAGTCAGCTTCCAAGGTCTATGCTAGAATTACTTTTATTTATAGCTTACATGATTTTACTACCCTAAACATTTCACATTTCAAGGATTCCTATAAAATACATTGAAAAAGATAATAGAAAATAAAGTGATACAAACTGAATTTGTCAAAACTTGTTCATAAGACTTTTGTTTCAGGAGACATTTTGAAAGGGCTGGGCTAGTTTAGCACCACTAAGTGAAAGCATGCATTTTTCATGAAACGAAATCCATTTGCCAATGTAGGAGCTTTCTGTGTTAAGAAAGCTGCAATTTAAAATGCAACAGAATGTGACTATTTATTTTATAAAAGGTTGATCACAGTACAAAGGAATTAGAGATGAGAGCTCCATAATGTAATGAATCCCTCTTGCAAAAATGAAGTTTTCAGTTTACTAAATTTGGTAAGACAATGAGATTTTGGGAACTGAGTAACTCTATGTAAAAAGAATATCACTGAAATTGTTCTTGATTTTTTACTACACAAGATCTATTTGAAATCACTTGGCTTCATCCAATATAATTTTAGCTCTAAATTTAACAGAGCATTTTTTTTCTATTTTAGCATCTCTGAAATGTTATTTTTAGATATTTGTCTCAATTTCAATTCTGAGAAAACATAAACAGTTTCAAAAGTAATATTCCACAGGACAATGTATTAAAAAAAACCCTTGAGTTTTATAATAATTCTTATGGTCTTTAAAATGAATATAAATGATATAGAGAACAAACAATTACATGATTACAATATGAGTTTCAACAAGGATAAGATGGTAAATACATGTCACATAGTGGGAATAGGCTCATATTTACAAGCTAAAATATATTTTAAACTAATGAAGTTCCTAAGATTTCCTGTGATAATAATGGAGTTATATATGTAAGAGTTTTAATAAATTTCTTATTTTACCATTACAACTTATGTTTTTTAAAAAGTCATTGAGTTAAAACTTTTGATATTGCAGTTTCTCTATATTTATTATAGTCATTATTTTCTGAGAATATCTTACATTTGTCGCTAAGTACTAAATAGTTCAAGGTGATTTGCCATACTTTCAATGTGTTGTGTAATTATGGAAAATTTCAGAGATGCTTAAAACTGATTCTTTTAGACATAAGGTTGAAGATTTTTTTCCTTGATAGATAGCATTAATTTCATACTAAGTTAGTTTTGTACTTTTTTTTTTTGAGACAGAGTTCAGGCTGACCTTGAACTTGGGGCAATCTTTCTTCCTCGGCCTCCTGAGTTCTGGGATTATAGGAAAGCACCACCACAGCCACCTTGTACTCCTAGTTTGTAGCTAGGATTTAATACACTTTTACAGAAAATAGTCTTAAAAAGATTTTAGATTCTGTACTGTATTATTTTTACATGCCCAATAAATACATTCAGGATTCTACAAATATACATTTACACAACAGTGAATAATTATTAATCATTATATATTAACAATGCTAGAGTTCTTAAATATAAACAAGGATCAATAGTTTTACTTACATTTACTAGTTCAACTAAAAAACTTACTCTTTAAATCAGTGAATTTTATTGAAGAGTAATTCTTTTTCATGTTAAAATAAATTAATAATAATACCTTTTACTTATCACTTCACAATATTTACAGAGTGTTTCCCATGCAAAATTATTAAAGTTTTCAGCAAATTATATCTTCATATAGACAGCAATGACAAGTTAAATCCTAAAAATCGCATACCTTACTGAAAAATCATTCTAAAACATACTTAGGTTATATTTTCAATACCAGTTTTCTCTGCTACATCCTGCAATGACTGTACTAAATCTGATTTCACATAAAGTCTAAAGAAATTGACGTGCATTTTCCACAGGTTGACAGAATCACATGTTTCTCTGCAATTGGTTTCAGAAATAGGAAATTGTACATGGCATTATTTTGGGGAACACTCTAGTGTACTAGAACATTCCTTGGTATTATGGGAAAGTTTCATGACTTAGAGACCAATTTTATTATACTACTAGTCCCCTGTGCTGAGATACATTGGATCACAAAAAGTGCAAGCCCTCCCATAATTTTCATTTTTAAATGTGCTCAGAACACGAACTAAAATGCCTAAATGAAGAAAGAATTAATCAGGATCAGTTATCAATTGCTCATCATCAGGTACAATCCAATGGTCCTCAGCTTGCAAGACTAGAAACTCTGGAGCACAGCAGCTCAGATCTAGGGGGACTGGCACTGAACGGACACCCGAGGCTCCCTAAAGAATCCCTTGATCTCACACACCCTTTTCACTGTTGCTGAGCAGAGCAGAGGAACGAAGGACAGGCCCCTTCCTGGAGCATAGCGGCAAAGGAAGCTGGCTACCCCTCTCTGAGCAAACCTACAGAGCAGTGATCACACCCCATACACAAGCTCACACCAACTTATTCCTCAGAACTAATGGAAAAACAAGCTTCTCTAAGAAATATTCCCTGGTGATTGTCCCTGAATTTCTACATTAGGTGTTACCTATAGATACAACTGTGTGCTTAATCCAATTTTCAGAGATGGAGAACACACTGAAGTGATACCTTTGTGTTTTTATCTTGAAAGCTACAATGCGACTTTCATACAAACACCATCATTATTTTATATTTATGTCCTAAGGACCAGGCCCAGTACTGGAATGTAACAAATGTTTAGTACAAGTTTGTTGTTGAATGGAAGTTGAATGAGAGGACCATGCCCACATCTGCCACATGTGCCACATTAATGGTGTGTGTTGGGAAGATAAGACTTAGCTGCAGGAAAACAAATTAAAAGATAATAAAAGAAAAAAGAAGACCAATAAAAGACAGTGGAATGTCATAATACAGTGTCCTTAACGGATGAATGCAATTATTTATACCATCAGAATACATCTTGGAACCTGTTACCTCTGACTAGGTAATACCTTTGTAAGTCTCCATGGAGATGTATATGATTTGTTATAATGAAAATAATTTATTACCAAACACTGATAACCAAAAAATATGATTTAGAAAAGGATTTAAATGGCTGCGCTTTCCTGAGATTACATTTTCTACATGAAAACTTGCATGAAACTTTCCAATCCTTGTATGTATTCTCTGTTTGGTTAAAATACAACAGAGTATTGCCACAAATGCATTCAGAGATTGTGATACTTATTTATAGTAGAAAAAGTGATACTTATTCATACTACGATAATGGATAACAAATATTGCTAAATTAAAAACATGTTTTATATATGGATCACTTGCCCCGAAATAAAACTTCATTTCCTTCTCTTGGAAAAATGGTTTTTCAAAGTGAATTACAATTTTAAAACATATATGAAGAGGTTTCTTTTGGAGTAAAAACATACATAAACCTCAATAAAAGTGTAAAAAGAGATTTTACATATACACCATTAATAAAGTTTTCATGAAAGTAATGAAGCCAAAAAGACTGATAAATCTTTTCACTTTCCCATCATTTATGAAAGACATAGGGTATTAATTTACTATCTGCTTCTTTGAACTTGATACTATTTTTCTAAAACATCTTTAAAATAACATATTGGGATGAGGACTAGAGAATGCACTCTGGGTATGTTTTATAGACAGTAGGTGTGCAATTCTAATCAGAGCATAAAGCAGATACACTGGAACTCTTATCACAATTTCACACAGTAAAGCTTGATTAAGTCCTGAAGGGAAAGTGCTGCATCCACAGAGCACAAATTATAGTCTAAAAAGTATTTCGCATGCTTGATTACTTCAGTTTAGGTCTTACATGCAAATTCATAAAAGTCTCAGGTAAGAAAGTATATGTTTAATGATTTCTTTTCCTAAAGACAAAATGATTAAAAAACTTTGAAATCTCTTAATCACCACATACTTTTACAATGCTAAAGAAGAAAAATGAGAAATGATTAATTTTTAAAATTACCCAGCAACTCCATCGCATCATCTTCATTATCAATATCTTCCTCTGTTACAGATGGGGTGGGACTCTGGCTGGAGTCGAAGGAATCTTGGGACAGCATTGCTGCCAGAAGTTTCTTGTGCTGTTGCTGCTGCTGTTTTAATCCTTTAGTCTTGGGTTCCATCTTTAAACTGAAGAAAGGTTTAAATGTTAATTATCTGTGGTGGGTGAAGGAAATCTAAAATTTCATTCTCTTTTGTTATGTGAATTTATGGATGTATGACTTAAGATTTTCTCAAGGACAATGGAAACACAGAGTTTCTCTCAGTCAGTTTTGTTGTCTCCAAAAATTTCCCCAAGTGAGTTGGAGGAGCTAAAACTCCCAACCTCAAGTAAAAGAGGAATTTATTTAAGCCAACTGTTGCCCATTAGAAATTAACATGCAATGTTAAAAGATTTCCTAACTGTTTTAAGCAGGAGCTAGGAAGTACAGGTTATTATTCCCTGCTATACTAAGCAAATTCATGTCAAGCAAAACTCAAGCAATAGGATATGGATTTTACCACACTAAACTAAGAAATTTTTACAAACCAATTTGATTTCTTTTGCATATGTGTGTTTCATTGTCCCAGAACCATTTGTAAAAAAGATATCCTTTCCCCCATGAATTGTCATGCAATGGTTATAATGCTTTTAAAAGTATAGTTTTTGGTAAGGTCTTTTCAGTAACTGCTCTTTGTGTTATGTATATGAAATGTGTCAGAGTTAGAAGATTTTCATACAATTATTAACATTACTTTGAGTAAAATGTGGACACTTTACTTCCATTTCACTTTCTTTACCTTTTCATAATGCAGCTAGTTTTTGTTAGACATTGTCTTGTCTATAGCCCAGTCTAGCCTCAAAGTCTGTGTGTAGCCCAGGCTGATCTCAAACCATCAATCCTCCCGCCTCGACTTCCTTAGCATTGGGGTTATAGGCACGTGCAACTACACTAGGCTCTTTTTGTACTTTTAAATATTATTATTTTAGAAATCAGAAGGCATTGTAATTTTTGATGCAATAATCAAATATTGTTTTTAGGACTCATGAAGATAATCCATTGTATATACTCCTACTAGTTGTTTGTTTGTTTATTTGTTTATTGGTGTTTCAAGATTGTTCATCATTTCCTTTCTGCTTGAGGACATTTGTTCAGTCAAAGTTCCCATTCTTTCAGTTTTCCTTTGTTCAAAAATGCCTTAATAAAACCTCTTCAATTTACTAGCGATAGAACTTGTAGTTGATGGTTATTTTGACACTTTCTTCTGAATTCTGCATTTTCAAAGGAGAAGTCCACATTTCTTCAAATTGATAGTGCCTTAAACAGATAGATAGATAGATAGATAGATAGATAGATAGATAGATAGATAGACAGACAGATAGACATAGATAGATATGCATATGTCTATTAGTCTATCTATTTATATTTATATATCTAAATTGATGGCTGTTTTCAAGCTTTCTTCAATATTGGCTTCCAGAATTTTACTTATAATTTGCATTATATGAAATTCTTTGGGTTTATTCTATTTGCAGTTTTCAAAGATTCTTGTAATCTACTGATTTATATCTCACAGGGTGTCCCAGAACTGTGCAATTGTTATTTCTTCTAGTCCTTGCCCAACCCACTCACTTTTCCACTTTTTCTGGAGGACTCAGGTATAAGAACATCAGATCTTTTATTATTCTCTCAGAGGTCCCCGAGGCTGATATATTTTTTCACTTTATTTTATCTCTGCTGTTCAGAATGGGTAAATGCCATGAACATGGCATCACATTTAATTAATTTAGCTTCTATCATCTCCACCCAAATATTGTGTTCGTCCAAGCTTTTTTACTTTTACTTTTGTGATTTCTTTTTCACTTTTATAATCTTCATTCTGTTCCTTTTTACAACAGCCATTTCTTTGCTCATGTTTTATGTTTGTTACAATAAAACCTAAATTTTCTTATTGAAGCATTTTGATGACAATTGCTTTAAATTCTCTGCCCGATAATTCTATCTTCTGATTCATCTCAGTGCAGGGATCAGTTGTTGGTCTTTTATCATTCCCATTTTGACTAGCCTGGCTCTTGTTATGAGTGGTGCTTCCAAAAATTGTATCCTATACAAATTCGCTGTGATTTTCAAGTTCCTGTTTCCTAAATAAACCTTTTATCTTAGAAGGCAGCCACCTGCATCTTCTGACCTAACTTTGTAGTGTATAGTCACAATAACACCTTAACTGTCAAGAGTCTTTGCCATATGGTTTTGATCTGTGTGGCTTGTCTGGTGTGACTGTGACTAGTACTGTGTGAGGGGGCAGAGGTAACATTCCCAGATTGATAATCCAATGCTTTCAGATAGATGAAGAAAGTCTGTGAATTCGAGTAAAAAAGGTTTCTTATGCCAAGCTTTATTCTGAAGAGATCCCTCCTTTTTGTCCATTCAAATTGATTGACCTCACTGATGCCTCTCAGGAGAAAAGGAGGATCTCAGTCCATGTTGATGTAAAGACCACAAGGCCAGGCCCTTATTTGAGGCAGAGTTCTTCTTGCTAGTGCTACTCCATTTTCCTTGTATCTCAGTGGGCAAGGGAAGCCTTAAATTTGGCAGGGACGATGCCTGGTTGTACATTAATGCAGCCCTGCAAGCAATGATCCTGCCCCGTTAGCTAATCAGCAGAACTGGCAGGCTCTCCTGTCTCACCTTTGTACCCTTACTTATGCATCACATAAAAATACTGGTTCACAGACACTCGCTGCCTGGATTTTGTGGGAAGTTATTGCAGCCAGGTCCACTAATGTAAAAAACAGCTATTCACTACCTCCTCACTTCTTGAAAGTTGTCCCTTTCCAGGACAAAGTTTCCAGAACAGATCTAATAAGCATCAGCAATGATAGGGAAACTGACATTATGCATCTCTTGATATGACACAACAAAGTACATAATATCATGATCTCTAAAGACTTTTTGCCAAAATGTTTAACTTAAATTTAAACAGGAAAGCATCAGATAAATGCAAATATGGGAGCATTTTTAGAAAAACTGGCATGAAGAATACCAGTGTACAGGAAAAGACCTGAGAAAAATTCTGCAAATGATTCTTTATTGAATACTAGCTAAAAAGAAGTAAACACATATATAAACAAATCCATAAATGACCTTACTAGAAAAAGGAATTTTCTAAATGAACTCTATATGAAATAACTTTATTATTTTCATTGTGAAATGTTTTGCTATATATAATGATTTTTATTATATGAAAAATCCTTATTAGGAAATGTATGTTAATGAAGCAAGAAACTAACATGTTACAGAATATCTAAAACTTCTTGTTTTTACATTCATGTATTTGGTACAGGGTCTTACTACAAAACTCAGACTTGTAGTGATCTCGTTTCAGCCTCCCCAGTGCTGGAATTATAGGAGTGCGCCACCATGCCCGGTTGCAGTAGCATGCACAGTGTGCCAGGGGCAGGGCCGGCACAGCATGCAGTACTGAGAATCGAACCCGGGTCTTTGTGCTTGCCAGGCAGATGCTTAGACTGCTGAACTATCTCTTGACCTTGCCCCTGAAACTTATTTTTTAGATGTCTCAGCAAAAAATAAGGAGACCAATGATAGGTAATAAATCATAATCAGTAAACAAAGATGGAAAAATGTCAATTAGTAAATATGATTGTAGCTTATGTAAATATTGATAATTATTACTCTTCAGTTTTCTACAGTTTTAAACTTTTCTAAATAAAAGTAATAGAAATTTGAAGGGAAAATAAGAAAAAATGTGAAGGTACACTTAGTAATATCAAATGCATACTTGTGTAACTACTTTTTAAATTTTTTAATGATTATCAGTGTAATTTCAAATAATTAAACAATATTTTCCTATAGTAATAGAGATAAAATATGCTTGTTGGCCAATTAATGGAAAAATTTTACTTACTGTCAGTTTCTTGCCATAATATTTGTATTTATTTCTGAAGATTTATTTATTTGTTTATTTATTTATTTATTTATTTATTTATTTATTTATTTGTGGTACCAGGGATGGAACTCAGGACCTTGTGCTTGATTTCTGTTTTTTTATCTGAGAAATAATGTAACCACTTTAAAGTCTACCTTGATCAATTTTAGGAAGTAAACAAAATAATTCAAAACAAAAATTTAATTTATATTCCTTACCTGATCTAATGTGCAAAAAATTATTTTAATTCACCTTACTTAAAATAGTGATATCCATTTATCACTTTAGTTTTTGATTAGAATAAAAGATACATATACACGTATTGCTTTCAATGACAAATTAACAAAGTTTATTGATACAATGTATAGCTTTGGCCAAGTTACTTATCCTTTTTCTGTTTTTGTAAATTGATAATATAGATTATAGTAGTACATACCACACATGGTGGGGTGACAAATAAAACGTGTTAGTATTGTAGCAGAGTGGCAAATAGCTGTATTTATGTTTGCTGACAGAATCAGTTAAGGTTTCCTTTATGACTTTGTATTTTTATATTGAAACTTAAAAGATAAAAATATTTTATTTTATAATATTCTATAATTAACAAAGTATGTTTTATGCTTTCTTGTAGAAAGATATCTATAGTTCTTTGGTAATTTTTCCTTTTAGGAATAAATAATAATTCCCAGTGTGTTACTGTTAGAAGTATGTATTTTATGAAGACTAACAATGAAGATTTCCTATGTACCTAAATATATATAAGATAGTTAGAAATTACAAGTTTTATGTAGAATTGCTATCCACTCTATCGAGAAGATGTTATTTCATATGAATATGTGTAACTGCAAGGTTAACTCTTATGCTTATAGAATACGTAATTATATTTTGGAGGTGAACATTGATCAAAGGTCAAAACAAACCTATTTACAAAAAAGCACATATTTCCAAATGTAAATTTGGTTTCAATTCCAGGTCCACAGTTGATTTTCTTGAGTCCTTCTTGCAGCTCTTTAAACCCTATATTATCTAACAGCTTTAGGAGGGCCTGGGGACTGACTCTATCATCAATTCCTTCAGTATTATCCACATCAGCATTGATGTATCAATGCTGACATGTATCAGCATTGTCATTCAGTAGGTAAAATAAAGAATCTGCAGTGTTCAGGGTTTGCTATTATCACTTTTTTTCATATCAAAATAAG